GCTCCTGGCCCTGCTGGGTAGCCCCACTGCAGAGCACTGGGCTCCTGGATACACCGGGCACCCCCACTGGAGCCCAGCCACCAGCCTTCCAACAGGACTCTCTTTGGTCCTAAAATATCCATGGTCCTTCCAGACCATGGATGTTGTTGCACCAGGGAGTCCCAGTTAACAGAGGTACAGTCTGCACAAGTGTGGTGAAGGCAAGTGACCTTAGCTTAAACCTTGAGGGATAGGATAATGATTTCCAAATGTTGATGTTTATACATGTTTAATCTGTTGTTGCAGGTGAAACGTTTAACATTACATAGAGCTTTTATCTATTTAATTTTTTTTTTGGATAAGACCACTGATTAATTAGTGAAAACTCCACACAAAAGTAATCTGCACTGACTGGTTTTAGCCATTTATCACAGTTGCAACATCTTTTTTTCTTGGGGTAATATTTTAGCTCTGTTGAAAATCAGTACTAGCCTGATTCTTAGAACTTCATTTCAGAGTTCTAGCACTTTTATTTGGGCATCCCTCTCAGACAATAGCAGTCAGAATAGTGAGTTGTGATGCATCAGAGGAGGTATCTGTTGAACAAAGGTAGTCCCAATTTTTCCTTTCCTTTGGATCTGTCAGATCACCAAACAAATATACTTGTGACTTTTTGGAGATCATGCAGCAGAAAGTTGCATGGCCATGCCATGACCATAGATTTGATTTTTTAGGTAAAAACTGATGATAAAACCCAGTGAAGCCTTTGAGAACCTTTTTTTTTAATGAAATTGTACACATAAAATTCTTGACATTGACCACATTGGTATTGTTAAAACTAATTTACGGAAAAGTCAATAGACCTTAACGGTCCTCTGTGTTTGCTCAGGGCATCTCAGTAGGAAGGATTGAAGGCATCCGATGGGGGCACATTTTAATATAATTAAAGAAAAGCTATTTAAAAAAAAATCAAACTATTTTTCCTATGAAAAAGTGGCCAGAAAATCAATAGCTTAAGCTGTAAATACATTGGAGACAATAACTTTTTAATTATATGCATGAACACATATTTGATAGAATTGCCAGTTTTGATTGGACATATTCCTGGAGGTTTCATCACAAGATGTAATCTTTAATTTGTCTTTTAGCTTTTAATTCCCAGACACTCCAGGATAATCCTGGAGAGTTGGCAACTCTGAGCATGATGAAATTTGAGATTTATAGCATCCATGACAGCAAAGCATAAGGGAGTGTTTGTTTAATCAGGGCCACTAATGGCAAGGGAAAAGGGACAACCCTGTCACCGGACCTGGTGTATATAGTTGTATCAAATTTGCAAGGACTCTTCTATGTATTTTCTTGGGTTTATTTAATTTTATCTATACAAAGAAGTGTGGTCTGAGTACAGTACTTCCATTTTTTAATCTGCAAAATTAGGACAGTGTTACGTAGCCAAGTAGACTCTTATGACACATCTGCTCACAAAGAGTAAGGGAAGCCACCAGGAGCATTTGCTGGAGTTGTGTATTTTAGTTCGACCTTCCCATGTAGTATAGACAGCTATATTTATATTGCATCAGGAAATAAACATCCTAGCCAGGGTCCACAGGCTTTTGTTAGCAGGGTTCATGCTAACATACTAAAATAGCAGTTTAGATGTTTTGGTTTGGGCTCTAAACTTGGAGGAGAAGTGGGGTTCAGAGCAGCAGGGCGGAATTTCAGAAGAAATGGAGAGGGATATGAAGCTCCTCTCTGTGTCCTTTCTGTAGCTCCCGAGTTTTAGCCTGATCTTCAGTGTCAGAGCACCATCTATAGAGCTATTTTTAGCACTCTAGCGTGAACCCCAGGACAGCAAATCTGTGGAGCCAATCTGGCAGGCATGCTCCCTGATGCATTGAGACATATGCTTAGAGCATTCTATTACTAATGCAGGATTGTTTACTTCTGTGTATCTTCATTGCATTGCCAAATAAGCATTTAAACTTACTGTCTTTAAAATTTTCTTTATTTACTCCTAGTTATTGCCTTTTAAACCACCTTAAATGATTCCTTTGCTTTGCAGGAATTTTATAAACATAGTTGTCATTTTGTCATGCTACACTCTACATTCACTATTGTAAATCTATAGATCAATCCCTACAACTCTTGAAATTATTGCAGGTGTATTCTAGATTTGGGCTTCTATTGCTATATAGCTATCTTCCATGTGTGGAGTTTTGAAATATAACACATTGAAATCATTGTTATTTTCATTTCCTTTATACATATTTTTGTATGTTTAATTGTATTTCAGCTATCTGCGCTTTACGTTGACTGTCAGTCTTTGGTCAAGGCCCTTCAGGAGCTTCCTCTGCATCTCAGGTTGAATGTGGCTGCTGAAATGGTGCAGGTAATGCTCTGGCTAGCCATAAAATTATAGGAAGATGTAACTCCAGTAAATAATACCTCAAGAAAAATAAGGGTCAAGATCTTTGATGTTTGGCATATGGTAACTGCATGGTTGCAGTTCTTGTTTTTGTTTTCACTGTCCTTAGAAATATTTACGTATCAAACTACTTTTAAAAATTCTAAATTTTGGTAATCTTTTAAAAAATAATTTACTAATGTGATATGGCACAATATGTGTTATTCAATTTTTATTAAACAAATCTGAGTCAGTGGTCAAAATGTGAACTGCCAATCAGACTGCAGAAGAAAAGGTTACTGATATTCAGGGTATAGAAAATTTGGTAACAGCATTTTAGCAAAATGCTTTCTCCAGGCTGCGAAAAACAAACTATTATGCACATAGAGGAAAAAGAACTAATGAGAGCCTTGAGTTAAAAATGGCTGTCACATGAGGTTACATTTGGAGAGCAGTTTGTCAGCAGTTGAAGAAAAATGACAACAAAATCAATCTGCTCAAGAAAGGGAAAGATGTAAGACTCCAGTAAGAAAGATTTTCTTTTCTGTGAGGATTTTTGAAGCGATTCAGACAGTTACATAGTTAACTTTATTACTGAGGCTGAAAAGTATGTCTGCAGATGTAGAGTATAAAAAGGATTCTGTATAGATAGCTCCTTTTCATGTAAAGTTCTTCTGTTCTTGCAGCCAAAATGCCAAACCTAGACCAGTGTTATAAATTCATCCCTTCGGAATAATTTAGTTAAATAAACTTATTTTCTTTTTCAAACAAAAGAAGAGACAATCTGTGCTATAAATATGTTAAATTCCTCCTACAATGAGTATGTGAAGATAAATAACGTCATTCCGTGCATATTGTAATATTTAACTTTATTTTGCATTTGGCCTATGCTGCAATATAACTTGTGATAGCACAATATCCAATAAGCTCCAAAAGAGCAAAGAAACTGCCTTTATATAAGTGGTTAGGTAAAAGTGGGTATTTCTTGGTTTACTATTTGATACTATTTTGCAAATTTTATATTTAATAACCTTTGAAAAATAAAATATAAACTTGTCAAACCCATGTCTGCATGCCTAGGGTGTTTCACAGACTTTCAGGGTGTGTTTTATACCTCACTCAGCACATAGTATCTCTTTGGGTACCCCTTTCATGCTTAGGGTGTTTCACAGACTTTCAGGATGTGTTTTATACCTCAGTCAGCACATAGTATCTCTTTGGGTACCCCTTTATCAGCCTGTCCAAAGTCATAGCTCTTTACAGTGCGCTCCATAGTTCTCCAATAAGACTGGGCTTTCTGGATTCAGCAGTCCTGTTTTTCTCTGCAAGTCCCAGTGAGTTCAGATACCTGTTTAAAAATTCTTCACCATTTGGGAAGCAATGCACCTCAGTAAGTATTTGCACAACACAGACTTTTCAGAACAAGGTGGCATTTTTTAGTTAACTGGAATACAGCATCTGAGAACTCTTAGGTTAACCTGGAAAATTCAAGCTTAAGTCAGAGTCCATATTGGCAGAAGTAACTCCAACATGCAGTGTTCTTCTGGGACCCCTCTGGCATCTGCCTCCCTCTGTCAGTTTCTGAGTCTGCGATTTCCTCAGCTGGAGTGTCTACACTGCATTTGGGAGCAAGCCTCCCAGCTTGGATAGACACTGGCTAGGTTCAAGCTAGTACATGAAAAAGAGTAGTGTGGCAGTGTCTGGCACTAGCCACTTGAGCTGATACCTAGCTTAGAGAGTCTCAGGTGCCATTGGAACCACAGCATCCATATTGCTATTTTTAGAGCACTAGCTCAAGCCCAGATAATATTGCCCTGTCTGAGCTGTGATGCTCACTCCCATCTTCAGGGTAGAACATTTTCTCCATTTCAAACACAGTCTCTCAGACTTTTGTTTTTGTTCCCATGCAGCTTCCACTGAATTCAGGCCAACCTGGGCTATCAGTCATTGGAAGTTAATGTTACACTCTTTGGATCTTTCATTCATATATGCACACATCCATTCAGTGCTTGACTGGTCAGACTAGCTCTGCTTCCCAGAAGAGAGGCTTAGTTTCACAGTAGGTAGGAGTACAGTCAGTGGGTACATTGAATCTCACACATTGGTCATACACGTATTACAAAAAAATCCCTCATTCACCACAGAGAATCACAGCAGAGAATGATTGAACATGGACTTTGAAGGGAAAAACTAAATCAGAGACTCTAGGTTAATTTCTGGGCCAAATCCTCCACCCAAGCAAGTCCACTAATTTCAGGATGATTCCAGTGGGACTGAAACTGTAGGCATTACTTTTCTACCTTGATTCCAGTGGGCATTACTGAAACTGTAGGCATTACTTTTCTACCTGCATGTACTGAATGCTCCTTTACTAGCTGCTGTTTGGTGTATATTTTTAGTATAAATATTGCACAAGTTACTTTTACATATAGCTATTATTGCCTAAATATTTTCAAATTTATTTTTGTATTAACGTATTTTTCTGACAGTATTAAAATCTGTTCTTTTGCATTTAATTAAGTGATTTGTATGTGGGAGTCATGAATTATTGTATTGTCTTCTTTACATTTCAACTGTAACAATTGAGTTCACCATAATGAAGACCCAAATCATTTCTTGTACTCTTAGGCATCAACACCCACAGAACTCCCTCAGATAAAATCAAAAAGTATTGAAGACAGCAAGAGGAGAGTGACTCAGTTTCAACAGCCATTGGGTCAAAGTGGAATAGCATCAATCTCTGATCCTGTTACTGATTCTGTTGTCCATTTGATGTCTTTAAGTAAAGATGAACCTGGAACAACTCCTTCAGAATCTTTTCAGAGAGGCTGTTCTATATCACAGAAAGAGGCAGATAATTTGGACGAAGAACTAGATTTACTCCTAAATTTAGATGCTCCTGTTAATATGGAAAGCAATTTTCTGTCAGAAACCGACAACACAACAGCTGAGAGAGATTTGAAAACGGAAAATGGTGAGATTTATATTTTAACTCCTTTTTAATTTGTATTGTTCTTTCTGTGACAATGCTTTTAGTTAAACTCCTGATTAGTAAGTCAGCAGTGTTTCTCTAATCAATCAACCCCTATCCCTGACAGTGTGTGTCATTGATTTGCAGTTCTCTACTAACACATCTGTTCATCCTCATTCTCCCTATGAGGTGACCTTTCAGAGAGGTTGAGTACTTTGACATTCCAAGACTTACTGCAGTTGAAAATTATGATCTAAACTTTATTGAGAGAAATGAAAGCTCAACTGTATATGAGTCTTTCATATATTGTAGAACAAGTACATTCCTCTGGCCCAGCTTTTTTTAACTTCTTATAGCATAATGGAAAATGGTGCTTTCCAGTATTTTGTCTTTCAGAGCCAGAGCATATTCTGGCTCATAACTTGACTCATCCTAAACACATTATTTAGACAATGGACTTTCAATATGCACACACTTTGACTTCCAAGAAGTCTTATCTGGAATAGACATCATTTTCAAATAGGATGAAATGTGATGGACTGAGTTGCATGCCTTGCCAATAACAACTGGGGATCTCATAAGCCACCTATATAATAGAGCAGGAATTTGCATCTCTTACTGTGTGCTACATAGCAGTGATTGCAACAACTATAGCCAAAAAAATCTACTGTGTTAAACTCAGGTCTTGGCAGATTTGGATCTTAAATTATATTTTTATTCTGTTCACCTTTCATTTTTCCAGGTTGCTTTAAAAAAATGCCCATAGTGTGTGTAATCCTTTAAGATCCAAGGCAATGGACCACTTTCACTGCTTTCATCCTTTTCTTCAAAATGGATCTCCTTTTCTTCCCCAAGTAGAATGGCTGCACTCAAATGGTTGGCTTCCGAGCATGAGCTATTTCTGGGCTTTGTGCCAGCTTCCTTCTTCCCTTCCTCTCTCCAGCTCTGTTGCAGATGTTAATAAAAGCATGGACCTTAGTGTCCTCAAGATGCAGCTCACTGCGAGATTGGGAGGGGATTAGTTCCCAGAATGAAGGAAAAGGAGCCAACTGGGACTTACGTGCATGCAGAACTCCTGACCTAATTGTATCTGGCAATGAACAACACAGATGCCTCCCTCCTCGCTGCTGTAGAGCCCCCTTAGCTGCTTTCCTGTGCCTGAAAGAACTACATTTCTAAGGTTATTAACTCATCCAGAGTAGAGTAAAATCAGTTAACATGGGTAGAGCAAATAACATGGCAGAACACGATCCTTTTACCTTCAGGATACTTTTGCTTTTCTGACTATCTGTTTTGAAACAGAAAAATGTCCTGTCAACAGCAAGATACTCAGCAATAGTTACTATTCTGCTTTTGAATCTAGCATACCACACAGTGAGGCTACGTCTACACTGGCCCCTTTTCCGAAAGGGGCATGTTAATTTCACAGGTCGTAATAGGGAAATCCGCGGGGGATTTAAATATCCCCCGCGGCATTTAAATAAAAATGTCCGCCACTTTTTTCCGGCTTTTAGAAAAGCCTTTTTTAAAAGCCGGAAAAAAGCAGTGGACATTTTTATTTAAATGCCGCGGGGGATATTTAAATCCCCCGCGGATTTCCCTATTACGACCTGTGAAATTAACATGCCCCTTTCGGAAAAGGGGCCAGTGTAGACGAGCCCTGACTGTACCTACTAAAACACATTTATGTTTTATGGTAGAATTGCTAGGCAGAAAACTGGTATACATAATTTATGAAATGTTTCCACCCTATAGTACAGAAAGTGATATTACATTGAAATGTTTAATGGAGTTTTTTTTTTTTTCAAGAACAATGAGTAACATTAGCGAAGAACTTTTCTGTAGTCAGCATACTCATTGTCAACATTTTAAGGGCTCAATAGAGCTCTTCTGCAAAGCATAACCTTGGGTTTCATAACTGCTAGGGAATTGTCTGTCAATGAAAGATTTCAATACAGTTTTGAGTGGCCGTGCTATTACTCAATTATTCCTTAGAAATACAAACTTTGAATAAGTTGGAGGTGGGACAAAGGGGTTTCTGTCTGACTTAGTTTTTAATATCTTTTAAACTTTTTTGCATTCTACATTTTATTTTAGAAGACTATATTCTTGTTGGCTATTATGTCTGATTCACAAGAGTAATATATTAAATAATATTTCCAAAGCTTTAGGACTCAATGAAATTTACTGAGAATGCTTTTAACCCATTCTTAAGTGCAGTAGAAACTTGCTAATGTGCACCAAAACAATTGACTATCTCTTCCAATTCACAGCAGTTGTGAGGTGAGGCATTACTATGATTCCACTATTTTTACCAAATGCTTTCACATCATTTACTATATGAACCTCTCAAGTAAAGACTGGAGCTCGATACATCCTTATAAATCCAATCTTCATCATTCCTCCAAAACCAAATGTGCTGTACCTCAAATTGCTAGTGCCAAATCTTGGCTCAGGATAGATTATGGAAAGCATTGATGTGTATTTTGAAAATTATCCTCTTTGTCTTATATATTCAAATTCCTGTCTAGAAAACACCATTATATTTTATTCTGTTGATATCTGTCAGGCGTGTTGGTGTCTGAGGCAAGGGCCACACTATGAAGCCGATGCTGGCTTAGCCTCTTATGTAAGAATGCTACCACCCCAAATAATGTTCATTGCACTGACCAAAGCACTTCTTCCATTGACATAACTGTATCTATGCTGGGGTTTTGTTTGCATAACTGTCAGTCAGGGATGTGGAGTGAGTTTGTTAGATACATCAGTCAGTAGTGTGGAACAAAGTTAACTTTTAAGTATTGATCAAGTCTTCAGTTTTGATTGTTATAGATTGATTGCAGCATTCTTATACATACGGAAGACTGCATTGCCCCATAACAGCTTCAGGAAAGGATGGCGCTGGCAGGATTTTGCTGAGCCCGAAATATTTCTCAGATAGGAGAAATCCTTTCCACCAAAATTTCCAAAAGATGTGAAAAGAGTTCAAATGTAGAAATGTTCATCCTTTCCACCAAAATTTCCAAAAGATGTGAAACTGATCTTGTAATTCACCGCTGTTCTTAAGCTTGTGTTTTTATTGTTTGTTAAACTGTGTATTGTTAAAATTTCTGAGATTAACATTGTACATTTGGGAAGCTACTACTATAAACAGTAAGAATCCCTAGTTTTTGTTTGTTAAACTGTGTATTGTTAAAATTTCTGAGATTAACATTGTACATTTGGGAAGCTACTACTATAAACAGTAAGAATCCCTGAGCTGTTTCTATAGAGGGCAGGGACTACCATCTGGGGTAAAGTCAACATAAGTTAGGCAACACCAGCTACATTGACTTTACCCCAGAAGGTAGTACCTTACATTGAGTTACCGCAGTGTGAGAGAGCATAGATGGGAGAATCTCTCCCATTAACTTCCTTTACTAGTGTTTTTTGTTCCTGTGGCATTTGAGTTGAGAGCAATCAGTGGTTGATTTAGTGGGTCTTCACTATACCTGCTAAATCAACCCCTGAGCAATCAATAACCTCAGCACCAATCCAGTGGTAAGCAGAGACAAGCCCACAGTGTATTAAAAAAAAAAAACTTGACATATTACAGAAATTCTCAGGGGATTTGCATTAAGTGGAAAACAAATATGTACTCATTATCCCTTTAATAAGCACAAAAAAGCTCTGCTGCCATGACCACCTGCTGATTTGTCACATGAGAGAAGGTGTGCATTGAACAGAACAGAAGTTAGATCTCAGTGGGGGGTGGAGTCAGGAAACATAACCTATGAAAAACTATAAACTCTTGTTTCACAGAGGATCTGAAACAATCAAGCACACGAGACAATTGACAATCATGTAATGACTGGTTGCTTTACTCACTTCCTTTTTTGTGATTTTTAAATGTTATCCTTTTTATTCCATCAGGCAGTGAAAAGCAAAACGCTAACATTGCACCTTTGAAATGGAAACCTTTGAAATATTACAAAGATAAACTTTTACATAGAATTGTTTCTTGTGTTTATTTTTAGTTCTGCTAAAGTTGGATGTGACGGAAGAACAGAGTCCAGGATCTGATCACCAGAAAACAGCATCTAAAAACATTACTGAGGAAGACCTTGAGGATTGGTTGGATAGCATGATCTCCTAAAGGAAAAGAAGAATGCCTGAAGTCCACATTTCATTGTCATGCAAATAAATGAACATGGCAGAAGTTAAGTGCAAATGTCAGTCTAAAAGAATTCACTGCCTGCTTCATCTCAATGATTTAATATACTGCATGCCTACTTTTATTCCAGCCAATATTTGAAATAACATATCTAGGAGCTCTCTGAACAAAAAAGTCTAACATTTCATTTTAAGATCCTTCTTAATGAACTCAAATGTAAATAGAACTTTTTTCCCAAAAAATGTATGCTTATATGGTGTAAGCAGCAAAATACACTGGCAGAAGAACATTTGTTTCATCTTGTACTTGGTATCTGCAGTTCCAAAAATAAAATAGTGTTAGTAAATAGTTGTGTGTGTTAACTGGGCATCCTGTGTGTAATCAGAAAAAAAAAAGCAAAGACAACACTTATTTATTTGGTTATTGCCATGGGCATTTAATTTTATTTGAAGAAAATGCATAAAGGTAGCAGCTTCACTACTTACAGATGACCATAAAGCATTAGTTTATTTTGGCCTTTTAACAGCAGCATCTCACCAGCTGTTATTGAAGTATATGAATAACCTTCAAGTGCAATTTCATACAGTAAGACAGAAAAGCAACACAACTAATTAATAGAACTGTCAATCTAAACAGTAACATAAATAAAAACCTTGCATAGCTATGTCTACAGAGGTTTTAAGGCACTTAATCGATATTTCAAGGTCGATAAAGTGTTTGAAAATTTTTCTTTGACTGCTTAAAGCTTTTCAAGCTGTATCTTGATACATTCACTAGCAAATATCATGGGAAAAATTAGATTGCAGTTAAAATATGTTTAATTTCACAATGTGAGTCATAATCACCTGACATTCAAGTGCTTAAGTTTCAGATATTGTGCATTTAAGAAATAATGTGTCTTTTAGCCCTTTCAACTATACCACCAAACATTGAGTCAAAAACAGTTACAATTTCAGTCTATGTTTGAATTGGAAAGTTTAAGGTAACCAAGTCTTCTATAGATTTGTCCCTTTTTTTCAGTAGGAAAACTATAAGGCCTGTGTCTTATCTGCTAGGTACAAAACTCCTAAGTGGATGGTTTTAAACAAGTTCACAGTAAAGAGATGGTAAACAAATGTGACCTTTGAATTACATAATAAAAGGTACGTTTTTAATTTTTTACCAGGTTTTACATTTCATTAACTTAGCTTCTTTCATAAATTTATCCAAGTAGATCCTCATATTGCTTACGGAAGCAATCTCCCGCTGGGAAGAAATCCCAGCATCTTTCTTGATACATTTTCCATACAAATGACTCCTGAAACAGTAAGAGGAAAAACATTGCTTAGTTTTAACATAATTTATTTTCAGTTTTTACTTTATATAGAAGAACCATACTGTCCTTACCATGTACACGTTAGCACTGATGTCACATAAGAGGAACTTATACGATCTTTAGCGTGGGAGTGAATGAGTTTATGATGTTGACTGTGCAGCTTTCTGTAAATACTCAGGGCACAGAAAGGTAACTAAGTACTGTATAGTTACAGTGGGAGAAGTGTCTCTTAGAGTTAGTCTACCCTACTGTGCTACAGTGGTGCACCTGCTCCACTGGGGCATGTCTGCTGAAGACACACTATACTAATGGAAATTACTCCACCTCCAAACTGTTTCTAGCTCCTAGCATAAGTTGCAAAATCAAGCTAAGCCAATTTAAAAGTGTATTGAGGCTTTATACTAATAAAACTACATCAATTTTAAATCTGTTTAGCTGGCAGTGAAGTATTCATTTTCTGAAACTTATTTTAAATATACATAAATATTCTTTCAAAAATCATGGTGTTGCCAGGGAAAAGTCATTTAAAGCTATTATGTTCAAAATGGAGCCTTTTTAGATTCCATCTTGTTTCCCTTCTTCTCCCTGTGTTACCCTTTTCCCGCCAAAACCTAAGTGCACACAGTCACCTGCTCGGTGCACCCCGCACTATTGTTGGCACTCAACCCAAAACTGTGCACTAGGCACTAAAATGAGCTGCACACCGCTCAGAAACTGTGCACCCCTCCCTACTGGAGTGCTGC